TCAAATGAACCCGGATTGGGTTCACTTGAACCCGACTTGGGTTCAAATGAACCCGGATTGGGTTCACTTGAACCCGATTTGGGTTCAAACGAACTCAGATTGGGTTCACTTGAACCCGACTTGGGTTCAAATGAACCCTGTTGATTTAGCTTTCTTTTGAATTAGATATGTTGATTAATATTTTATTTTTATTGTTTCGCAAGAAATTAGAACAAGTACACACTTTTTTATCAGATCTCGAGTTATTGCGTATATCCGTTATGTCTCGAGACAATGCTCAAAATGAGGAGAGAGAAATTTTGGTAAGAAACCATCGTTATTATCATAGCCTTTATTTACTTGTAAGATTGTATCGAATTTGTTTATTCTCGCAGGATGGTTTTGAAGGTCTTTTGACATCCGTAGCATCTCGATGCAATGATATACCAAATTCAAATGTAATCTTCCGAAGTTCTGAATCGATACGAGGTACGGATGTTGGAAATTTGGGTGTTTTACGTCGGTTCAATTCATTGTTAGAAAACTGCGAACGTGTTGTTAGGGATGATAAAGTTAGCTTAAGTTTGGTTTAGACCTCTAAAACTTTTAGTAGATTCCCAATTGAAAACCTAAAAACCGGGTTTTACATAATAAGTTTAAACCTAGTTTGGTTCAAGGTAAAATTTAAAACCAGGTTTTCAATCTTTTGTAAGGCATAAAAAATAAAAATATATTAATAAAAGGTTAATTCGTACCAAGCTTTTAGAAATATATATTTTGACTTAATATGCTAATATTGAGATAATATAGCGGGATGGGTAAAATATTGGGGTGTATCCTATCGGTTGATTTAGTGATGATCATATATAAATTTTTTTTATAATTAACGTTAAATTTTGTGATCTACGTTCCATATTAAATTATTATAAAAAAATCGATTTACTTCGCCTTTAATTTCTTCCGCAATATTTAACATTTTAAATTCTATAAAAGCAAGATGTTTAATGAAAAGTGTCTTTATAAAGTAATAATGTTAGAATTTTATCTCACTAATTGAAATATGTCACGGATTACCTGGTTGTCTGCTATCACACGATTTACAAACATAATGCAGGCAACATGCGGGCTACATAGTAAATCGATGGCCGGGTTTTTATAAAAATCTAATCCTTAATAACTTTTGAACCAATAAAAATGTACAAATAAAATTAGATTTGCCGAAGCTCTCTTAACGTGCTCTTTAAATTTATGAGAAAACCCGGACAATGAATTACTATATGATCGCAGTAAATCGTATGATAGCAAGCAATCAAGTAAGCCGTGACATATTTCAATTAGTAAGATAAAAATTCTACTTTTCATTAAACTAAACATCTTGCTTTTACAGAATTTAAAAATGTTAAATATTGCGAGAGAAATTTTTGGAACGTAGATCCCAAAATTTAATTGTGCGACGGACACAATTTTTACGCATTATATGATACAAAACGTTGTGTTTTTGACGCATTTTGATCATGAAAAATTCTTTTTTGATGGAGGACATTTAATGTTTAGTCATGGTGATAGTTTTTGATGCACCAAAGTTACGTTCTTAAGATATATTATATTGACAATTCATGTCTGCCCGCATGAGCATGATGGGCAGTCGTTCTGATTGGCTAATGTGGTACAATTGTAACGTCGATAATTGCACAATTATTTATATTAGTTTTAGAGTACCCCCTATAGGGGAACGTTAAAGCCAGGTGCGTCAGAATCAGGGACAGTGATTTTATGTGGTGACAAAATCAAAATTATGCGGTGGCAAAATTCAAATTATGTGATGTGATGTGAA